GGCGTGTGGCACCGCTTTCCGTTCCGTATGCATATCCATAAGTGTGTCTCTAGGGGGCAATTGACCTTGGTCTTCAAAGCGATCCAATTTGTTTTAAAAAAAATCTGTAAAAAAATGTCCACAATTCGCACCTCTGGCATTGAACCATGGCGGGCCTTTCAATGACACCTGTCAAAAGCTCAGGCTCGTCATGCTCAAGCAAAAGGCTTCAATTACCAAGTCCGCTGGACACACTCTGCTGTTGTCAAAAGACAGGTTGTGTGCAACGCAACCTGCACTTCCCTGTCCTCGCGCCTCATGCTCATGGAACTGCCCACAGCGCAGCAGGAAGGCACTGGGGCAGGTGGAACTGCAGAACGTGAGCTGAAACTGCGGTGGGCGGTTCCGCTTGCTTTGCCAAGAAAGGCTACGGCGGCTGCGGGTGTCTAAGACATCGGTCCTTTCTTGAAGATCCTTGGGGCCTGATTTGGGAGATTTGGGCCTGCTCAGGTCCGCCAAAACCAGGCCTCCACCTAGTCCAGAGTACACTGTTCAGATACAAACATGCAAGAAAGAAGCTGGCAAATATCAAAGCCGTGCACCAAGAATATCTTCAAGTAAAAGGTGTTGTTTCCTTTAAACTAAATCTAAAATCACCAAAGTATGTCCAAGTCTACAAGTATAGTATAAGTACTGAGTAACCTCTGAGCAATTCACCCCAAACAGCGAAGCCTCCAGTGAAGCTGAGCGCCCCAAACGGCCGAGATCCGCCGGGGCTCGGTGACGATGATGTTGGGGAGCCTAGTAGCTTCTTGTTACTAGTAGCTACTTGCTCCTTGTAGCGATGCCCCTTGTTACTAGTAGCTTCTTGTTACATGTCTCTCAGGGCAGTCCTCCGAAAAAGGCCACATCTCCCACCGGGTCAGGAACATGCCCATCAAGACATTCAGTCAGTGTGGCAAGCAAAGAAACGGTTCTATGTTTCAAAAACACAAAAACCGAGAAGGATACGACATTGAAACGGGACAGTGCTCTTTCTGTTCAGCCATAGCGACGCTTCAAGGTTGAGAGGGAGAACTCCCGAAAGTGTTGCACAACGATCTATCATCGTGGCACCAATGATGCGCCATGATGCGCTGGATCAGTCCGGGGTCCAGTGCAAAGCGCCAAGGGGTTTGGTGTTCACCTCACGAGTCCTTCAGGTCATTCTACCCGAATGAACAACCCCTTCAGAACTTCATCCAAGGACGCTACTAGTAACGAGAAGCTACTAGTAGCTCCTGGCATCGCTACTAGTAGCAAGGACGCTACTAGTAGCCATCGCTTGAAGACATGGGCATCCAAGCGGTCCAGAACCTTCCAACGCATCTTCCAGGACGTACTGCGGCACCTGCATGCAGTCAGATCAGTCAGTGGCAAACCTGAAAGTGACCTCTTCGGAGCTCCAGAGACTCTGCAGAGACCTCCAGGAGATCCTCCTGTGACCGGTCTGAGGTTGGCCTCACGCCCCACACATCGCCTGGGTGGTTTTTCCACTGCCAGTCGCTCCACTTACCACCACCTCGGTCAAGCTGAGTTGGCTAACACAGCGAAGAAGGTCCAACTTTCGAAGTGCATAACATGCTACTTGGAACAAGAAGCTACTAGGGGCTCCTGGCATCGCTACTAGGAGCAAGGACGCTACTAGGGGCTCCTGGCCTCACTACTAGGAGCAAGAAGCTACTAGGAACAAAGGGCATCGCTACTAGGAGCGTCCATGCAATTTCTATTAATTCCCATGGTGGAATGGTTGACAGACGAGAGACCAATGATGATATGTCAATTTTGAATACATGCAGCAGATTTCCAGTCAGCAGTGTTGCTGTAGCTCAATGTAACCAGCTATGTCCAAACGACAAATTTTCTGCATGGAACATAAAACCCTCTGAGCTATGCTCAGCAGAATTGCTTTGCCTTTCTCAGCACCCACAAGAAACCAGGCTGACCGTTCTCACTCTGAGGTGCCACGCTACGCCCTGGCTTGAGACCTATCGCAGAGGATTCTGGGCTTTCTCCAGAGAGTCGTGTGGTATATATCCGATCCGTCAAGACGTCAAGAGTAGGGTGGTGTCGACCCTTCTAGATGCCCAAGTCATGAGGTTGCAAAACAATCCCTGATTCAATTTTGATGGGATGATCCATCACAGGCCTTTTCAAAAGCTATATATCTGCAGAATTCCAGTTCCGCTTGAAAAGACATTGCTGGGCCACGGCACTGCCCGGAGGAACTGCTCCTTGAATTCGGCCACGGGCAGCCGCTGGCGCAGTTGTTGGAGCCTCATTGACTCATGCAAGCTGGGAAATGGTTAGAGAGCTGCTGCTGCCGGAAGGACGGAAGGAAGGAAAGAAAGACAAGCAGGGAAGGGCACTGCTGAGCAAGTTGGGGCTCCCGCTCATCAAACTGAGCATCCTCCTCCAGCGACTGCTGCCGTTCACGGTAGCTCCGCCGCAGCCTAGCCAGAGAAGCGGCTCTTGAGGTTCTGTTGGTGAGGTGAGCTCTTGCTTGGCCCTGGGTGGCTCCTCGTTACTAGTAGTAAGAATGCTACTATTAGCGATGCCAGGAGCCCCTAGTAGCGTCCTTGCTCCTAGTAGTAGGGCCAGGAGCCCCTAGTAGCTTCTTGTTACTACTAGTATATAAGGCACTTGTTACTAGAAGCGATGCACTTGTTCCTAGTAGCGAACCTTGTTGCTTGGCCCTGGGTGGCTCCTGAAACCGGGCCTTTCCGCCGCCTCGGCATTCATCTCTTGCAGCGCAAGTTCATCCTCGCCTGGCGTTCGATGTTGGCCTCTTGGTCGCCAAACGTGGCTGGACAGCTGGTGTTCAACAGAAACCAAAAGAACAGAAGCTTCGCTGCACAAGCTTCGCATTGTGGCCTCGGGGACCGGATAGAGACTGAGAGGTCTCGACGCTGCCTCTCAGCAGATCAGAACTGGTATTTCTATCCATGTCTAGAATTCAAATCAACATGACTTGTCAGCAAAATCCAAAGCAAGGCCGCCTAGGCCCAGAGTGCTTTGAAGCATTGCAGGCCTTGACAAGGTTTGACATCCAAGTTCCAACCCTTACGATTTGATCGTGGTATTAGACTCTAATTCTGCGAGTCAAAGCAGAATGCGTCCATGGCCAACGTGCCTACGTCCGTTGTACCCCTTTCTTTCAGCTTGTGAGCCTAGTCACCAGTCCCTGATCGCGGCCTTTCCAGGTCATCGTGCCCTTTCTGCTCACCGGACTCACCGGGCGGGGAGCCAACGAGTGAGTAGATGTAGAGATGCGAAATGGTGACATGCGCATGTTCGACCAGGATTTATATATACCACACCCGTACAAGACTCATGGCCAGTTGGAGCAGCATTGTATCTCCTGAGCTGGACAAGAACTTCAGAGACGGGCTTGGTGTCCGGCTTAGTTCGGAGAAGACGTTCCAAGAAAAGGATCTTGTCCTTTACTAAAGTCTTCTTCCGCTCCTGCCACTCTGCCATGTTCAAACAAAATCTATATATATATATATGCCTCTTCCAGCAATCGCCAAGTATGTTGATCGAACACTTCAATCCAAGTAATCTTTGTACGTAGTTAGGAACAATGACATGCAAGACCAGACACTTTTGAAAGCATGCTCGGCTCGCTTAAAATCGGCTGTGAATTTGCCAAGAGGTTGCACTTTCTGGAGCATTGCATGCATCATCCTGCAAGTCGGCCAATAGCTCTTGATCCCACTCTTGCCACCGCTGCCGATAGACAGGAGGCAAACCCCGTTGCAGACCTGGCTTCTCTGAGTCCTGCCAGTGATTGAAATGACTGGCCGTGGCAAAATCCATAGATCTGTGGACTGGCCGATGTTCAAATTTGTTTGAACCCTATGTCAGATTACAGCTATGAGATTTGTTCACAAAACTTGCTAAAACAGTTGAGCCTGGAATCAAATTATTTAAGAACCCCGCACCTGGGAGAGTTTCATCAGCGCCAATGTCGCTGCCAGGTGCTCTGCCTCCTCCTTGCTCTCGCAGAGCTCCTCAAGTGAACAGCCGAAAGGCATCGAAGAATCTCAACAGCTCAAGGTAGGAAGATCGCAAAACCCAAATAAAACGGTTGCCGACCAACCTTTTTTGTAATACCAAGATTGACTTGAAACCACATCAGTTCTTTCCACTAGCCTGGATTTGCTTCTCACCCACCAAGTATCTCCGCATCAGTCTGAGTAATCCAAGGCCCTACACACCGCCCTGACCAGAAATGTGATGCGTGGCTCCTCGGGGTCAAACCGCCGCCGCTCGTTCTTGGGCAACTGCACGGTGACCCGCACGCGGAAGCCGCCGGCGCCTCAGGCTTCAGAAGCACAGCGTGTGACCAAATGGGACGTGGTCAAAGCTAATGCGTTCACAAAACACTCGTGGTACAAGTAGCACCCGGCCCGGCCTGAGAGCTTACTGTACTTGGCATAAGGCAGTCCATCCTGACATAAGGTGATTCTGTCTCCTTCACCGTTATGTATATATATATATGTGTGTGTGTATGTGTATATATATATATATGTATGTATATGTGTGTATATATGTATATATGTGTGTGTATGTCACCTGTGTATGAGGGGTTCCAGTGTATGGATAGACCTGAGTGTCTACCATACCGTCGACGCAGACCGTCCGACGAGCGAGGTTATATATGTGTATGTGTATATATATATATATCAGTCGAAACCACTGTGTTGACTAGCCTCCGGTGAATTCCCACCTAGCAAATAGCTGTGCGGTGTTTCAGTCAGTCCTGATGCTGGAAGCAAATCAATTGCCCAACACAGCAGCGACAATGTCTGTCTTCGTATCTTAGAAAATGGAAAAGTGCGTTGTGACATGTTGTGACTACATATCTCAAAAAGTGTGAAGGTGAATGTCGGGGCTTGATATTGTTCATCTGCCGTACAGTTTCTAAACAGCATCCGGTCTTCACAGCCTTCTTCTTGCCCCACTTGTTCCTGCCGAAGTCTTCCAATGCCTCGTTTGGAGACGCGTTTTATTGTCCCGAGTCTTGGCCTCTCTTGAACTGTAGAAAGCATCTAGAAAATTCACAAGCAAAAGGGTATATGCGGGTCACGGACACCAGTACAGGAAGTGGCCCAAATCAAGATCAACGGAAATCGTACCTCAAGTTCCTATGTCCACCTGAATGATTGCTCACTCCATGCATTTTCAGGTCAAAACGAATAGAAAACCGGCAGCTCTGACAACCTCCGGCCACCCACTGGCCTCCTTGGGCTTTCGCCCGGTCCAGCCCGCCAGGCTGTAGGAGCGCCGCGCTTTCGGCCGTTCCGCGCTGTGGGACTCAACGGACTCCAGGCCTTCGGCCTTCAAAAAGGGAAGCCGTTACACAAAAGAGAAGGATGCGAAGCAAACAAGGTTCCAAACAGAACAGAATACAAGATAATACAAGGGCCTAAGAATGATTACACGAAAAACAGGGGGAGGTGAGCCTGCGAGATTCATTACAGAGTCTCCGTCCTACGGGACTTGTCCGCAGTCCCCGCAAGCAAGTCACTCCCGGACGGAAACCGTTCGATGTCCGGCATCGGACGGCCTCATCGAACAGAGAGGGCAGCATTGAATCCTCCAAATGAAGGAACAATGGCTGGTACACGAAGTAAAACAAAAGAAGAAAGCCTAAGAGCAGGCTGGAGTCAATGCGTCTACATGTAGCAATTCCTCAGGTTAGTATAGCAAGCCTTGGGAAGATTGTGTCAAGCAAGGCTAACACCGGCCTCACCACTACATCGCGAACTGCAGACATGAGTCTCGTTGTGAGAAGGTGGCGCAGTTACTTTGGCAGATCGTATGTTTTAGAGTACCTAATAGTATCTATCCCTTTGTTTTTAAACAAAACCTCGTTTGACAGCTCGAAGTTTTGCCTCAAGATGGGCAACATGGGGTTGCTTGAGTAAGTTTCAAAAGGCAAACTCGGGCTGGGCTGAGCTCAGAGAAATCCTCCTCTGTCTCTTTTGCTTCCTCCTTCTCTTCCTGAATCTTTGGCGTTGGCATACAGAAAAGGGAACAAATGGCATGCAAACTTTGTCTTGTGGAACTTGCCTCTGTCCTCTTTGGATCTATGGACTGTGACTGAGGGGTGTGTATATAGATACGGACAATATGTGTATATATATATATGCATACAAATCATACAGTAAGTATACAAATGCTGCACTTCCCATCCTACCCTGCTTCGCCTTCTCCTTCTCCTCCTTCGCTGGTTTCTCTCTCTCCTCCTCCTTGGGAGCTTTGCGAGGCTTTGCCTTTGCAATGCGCTCCTGATCACAAAGTGCTCAATCAAAATCTGTCAAAGCATGTGCCTGCTTGGGACAATACTGCAATGCCTGCAACGCAAGATTTGTCGATAGTCGCCAGACATGCCAAAGGGTTGGAACATGTCTTTGGAGCAAAAGATGCAGCCCTTCAGCTTGATTGGACTGATTGGATTTATATACATGTATGCTGTGGTCTATCTTGGTGCCTCCTCGTGTGCCAGGATCCCTAAACTTTTACTTTGGTGATGTCCAACCAAGCAGTCTGCTGGGTATCATACTGATCCAGTCCGCAGTCCTGATCCAGGGGCCCATACTTCCCGGATTCCAACAGCTCCATCTCAGCCTTGCAGCTCTGAAACCTCACTGGTCGCCGAAGGCTGGAGAAAAAGGCCGGAGACTAGTCAGGGGTACAGGGCCTTGAACCAATAGCAACAAGGCTTCACAAGGCCAAAGCGACTTTGGAAAGACTTTGATCATCTCGGACCTTTGCATCGTTCAGGTTCCGCAGGAAGTTGAGATCGAAAGCAATGGCTCAGGGAAAGAATTAGAAACGATGCGAAGAGCTTTGGTGGATAAACTGGGATATTTAATGCCCCAGTGCAGACTTGTCGCGCATGTCAGGTGTTCTAGAGTGATATCTGACTCACCCAGCTACCGTGAGCATGTAGCAAACTCTGCCGAGCAACTTGTTGGTGTTCTCCCTTTGCTTGTTCTGATCAGCACTGATGTTCTGCCTCAGGAAACAAACATTATCCGTCATGGTGCGGTCAAAATTCTGCCTGTTATAGCTGCATTCCAACTTTCCGAGACCTCCTGTCCTGCAGTTGAAATCCAAAAACATTGGCTGCTGGTCAAGCTGCTTGAAGGCACCATGCCGTCTTTTCTCTTTCAAAGCCTGCAAAAAGGATGGAGGGACCCTGGCAGAAAAGGTGTTGTCCAGGACTCCTTGTCCAAACCAAATCACGCAAGAATTCATCGTATCATGCCCATCCCTAATGCTAGGAACAATATAGATGATGTGGCAACTTTGGAAGTATCATCCCAGACGATCGCTATCCAAAACCCGAAGGGGAAAGAACTAGAGAGCAAGTTGTATCTCCGCAGGCTAAGGAGCCCGCTTGTGAATTGAGTTTGCCAAACACTGTTCAATAGAAATACCATGGAAAATAATCCAAGGAAAAATATAAAGGCAGATAGAGGCCTCATTAAAGGGGACCTTACCTCCGTTTGTGTAATCTGTTCTGCTCTAGTTTTATCTTATAATAAATCAGTTCTTCCAGGCCTCAGTTTGTGTGAGTCAAACCCAAACCACAGGAAAACTATGGTGATGTCCAGCCTTCAGGATTTTGCTGGACTCTTCAAACTGCAACGATACTTTGATATACCTGGCAGCTGCAATCGATGATGCACACTTTGGGCCCTACACCAAGGGCTTTGCACAAATGCCAATATCATACACCGGTGCTGAAGGTCTAAAAATAATTCCTCAAGAAAACACATGAGAGCAAAAGCCTCGCTGTTGGATCCTTCTTCCTCTCTCGTTCCAGAATCTCTTCTGGGCTAAGGAGGGCATCTTCTTCATCCTCCTCCTGGCACTCAGCTCTCTTGCATCTCCACTTGAAAACACCATCGAGAGTCGGCACTCTCGAAAATTTGTAGTAAATGCCTTTCCTTGGGGAGCCTGACCGATAATGATGTACCATGCAACCCGCGGTCTCGCCATTGAGTTGAAGGCGGGGTGCCTGTTTGGCTCAAATCACCTGATTGATACATAGTGATACTTTGCTGCAACTACATATGAAAAGAAATCCAGCACAAAAAACGAAACAAAACCATCCTAGCAGTTATTTTCTTGAAAGTGGTCATGAACACCCTTCTCACTCAACTGTTCGCAACTCAACTTCAGCTCCCCATCCTCATATTGCTCCATGTATCGCCGGGCAAATTCCTGCAGTGATTGATTTAGGTCAAGCAACACCCCCCCCGTCCCAGCGTGTGCTGATGATTGACTGGAACATGACCACAGAATTATGTACTAAAACTTTGAAAAGAAATGAGTCTGACTCAGCACAAAAATCGAAACAATACGAAACGAATGTTGTGTGTCGGGCAAGACATGCTGACTAGCACTACTCCACATTGCCACAGTGACAGCGACCCCAGATCACTTCAAACATAACCCGGGGCCGCAGTACCCAGCAAAGCCCCCCCAAAGGACAACGTTTTCAGAAGACGTGTTTTGACATGCACAGTTGCCCAAAGACCATTTTTGGAGGGACACGTGTAAAATGGTGTCCTTTCATCTGATTGTTTGGCAATGATGATAACTATATAACCGTCTACCACACGCTGATCAGAAAAAAAAATACATATTCACATTTGATGTAAAACATGTGTCCAACAAAGAACCAAACAAATGACTAGGCCCTAAGCAGTCACGCAGTCCTTCCCCACTTCCTTGTCACAAGCCGGACGTTTACCATCCTGAATGTTTGGCAGGACATGATCGACGGCTTCATCGCTTTGGGAAGTCCACAAGGTACTTTGATGCCTACTCGGGACACAGGTGGCCCTGAGATGTCCCTCAAGTGAACGCCTTGTCCAACATCCACGACTTGCGCTTAAAACACCAGCCCGGAACCATTTAGGTGGCATGGCCAATTGAAAAGCCGGCGCCTGTTGGCAGTACGGATTCGGCTTACAGCACGCAAACTTCCCGCTGGCAGACCGGACCTGTTTGGCGACTGGCTGCGGGAGCTCCTTGTCCACGTCGAGTTTGTCATCCACACCTCAAGGTGTGAACTCCGCAACATGCGATGGCAAACACATTAAGCAGCTGAGCCACGGCAGGCACGGCCAAGCCCGGCCAAGCCCTCTTCACTCAACCATGCACACCACTTCCCCGCTGGCGGCCCTGCCTGCTTTGGCTTCTTCTGCCTCCTGGCCACTTTCAGGCTTGCGCGTCAAAGCAGGCCAGTGGCTGAGCCCCACTGAACTAGGAGCAGTTCCAAACAAATATCTGTGAACAAACGGCCGCCAAGCAGGAAAAAATAAATGCAGAGCGGATGCTTCCATATTGGCCTGCCATCACGTCTGGATTGGCAACCCGCATGTCAGGTCTTCGTCAGAAACAACGCGTAGCAAATTATGTGGATGGCTTATGAAGAGAGAAAAGAAACTTCGATTCCACGCATGTGCTCTTTTCCAAAGTTGTAGCATCTGATAGGCGAACGGTATCATTGGTAGACCCACCAGCTACTCATTTGAGAACTTGCTACGAACAGATTCTCACTGGCTTGATTCTAGTTGAATGGTCTTGATGTCAGGTTGTGTCGGAAAATCAATAGAGCCTTTGTTGATCTTGTTTTCTCCTTTGACCCGAATCCACCAGTCCAAAGTCTTAGCTGCACATCCCAAGTCGGTGGCCAAAGACCGCGATGAAACAGTATATAGATAGATAAGTAATGTCTACTACGGTGCTCCTTGCAGTGAAGCACCTTGGCAATCCTGTTCCTTTTGAGTTTCTGTCATATCCTTTTGCATTTAACTGATGGGGACCTGGTTATCCTTTCCATGTTTTCCCGGAATCATGAACTCAAAAGTCGAGGTTTTTGTGAACCAATGTATTCTGAATCATAATATCTTCCATTTACTTCCGCGTTCTACGTAGATTCTAGATCTTTTCAAAATGATTCCTTTGGCTTCTTCTTTTGAGGGGTCGGGGAACTCCGAGCTCTGATTCTGATGCTTCGGCGGATTTTTGCAACCAAGGGATTCATCACGGACCCTTGCAAGCCATCCTTCAAAACCTCTGAAATGGAAGGCACCCTCAACCTCTCAACACAATGCGATGTATGCAATGTGCCTACACACCCTCTCACCCAGCCCCTGCAAGAGATCAAAGTAGCCATAAAGCTGAAGTCTAGCACATCTCCTCTACCACGTCCATTTGAAGCTGCGCCGGACCAAAGGGAGCTTCCACCAAATCACTGAGGGTCGAACCTGCCATTTCTGGTCATCTCTCTCATGCAACTGAAGCATGTCAAGTATTATTCACGCACGTAAATGTTTAGCCTGGCAATTGAATTCTTATTTCCCATAGCCTCCAGAGGAATTGACGGGTTGAACCGTTGAAGCAGCAAACACAGCAGACAGCTATTGGCCAAACATGTCCAGATAAAAGCAAATATTCTCACCAAAATTGTGTTCAGACAGCTAGTCGCTAGCTGAACCCCCTGAAGGTCATGTTCAACAAACCTCTTGTGCTCGTACTGGACAGTGAGCGGACATGTTCGAATCAAATGTGTTCGCAGTCCGACAAAGCGGTCCAGGCCTTCCTCCTCAGTGTTCGGAAGGTCTCCGACGGAGTCGCCACCAAAATAGCGTGGGAGCTCCTGTGATGAAGATGAGGGCTGTCAGCAGCTGTCTTGGAACTGGACCATCCTGTGATGGCTCATTCCACAGGAACCTTGCTATTCTAGCAGTCGATGCCTGTGTTTCACGTGTTCAAACAATGTTCATCATGACCACTCTCCACTGTGAACTTCCACATGGTAAACTCAACACCTCAGGGCTCCTGCTTTGGCAAGTTCACTAGCAACCACTCCAGCGGAGCTCGTGCATCATAGCCGCCGGTCTTACCCATCGCCAAGCGGATTTGGTCACCCTTGAAGTTCAATGCCTCCATGAAAAAGACTCAAGAAGACACAAAACAACAAAATACAAGCACCTGCCACTACCACCACTGCGACTGAGACTACCACAACCACAACCACAACAGCAACAACAACAACAACCACAACCACAACCCCACCGAAGCCAGTAGCAACAACAGCTTGACGGGCTCTTAGTGTGTTTTGACCTTGTTCTCTTCCTCTCTGATCTTGTCTTGGAAACCAAAATAGAAGCCCCAGCCCATGCCATAATCCATCTGTAGCAACGGGTCACTACCATGAGAGCTTCCTTAGTTGCTAGCTTAAATTGCACTACATATTCCTCGGAACTAACTTGCTCATTTCAAAAGCAAAGAATGACACTCAGCACACTGGGAATGCATTGCTTTGGCGCTTCCTTCAGACTCAGAATGGCCGGCACGTGTTGCAATTGAATCGTTGGCTACTGTGCAGGATTCTAAAAGCTGATCAACTCACCTTGAGGGCCATCGGAGCAGGTTGCTCCTGATGTGTTTCTACAGGTCCCACTGTCCACGTCCCGAGCACCTCCAAGGTTGTGTAGATGGAGCTGAGGCGTTCCCAGGTCAACTTGCCCTGACAGCGCCAACTACCGAACTACGAACACACTTGGACATTCTTCTGTCTGTCAACACACTCAAACACTGGGAAGACCTTGTTCTCCCTCTCTCTCCCTCCCTCCCTCCCTCCCTCTCTCTCCCTCCCTCCCTCCCTCCCTCTCTCTCTCTGTCTCTCTCTCTCTCTCTCTCTAAAGTCTTCAAACACTTCTCTCTTTTTTGCGCTCATGTCCAATGCACTCTGTGCTAGTTCACACGAAGCCAAACCTCTTCAACCCTCGGCGTGCCACAGAAGGCCGGTGGCATAAGCGGCTGCAAAGTTGTCCATCCCTCTCTCTCTCCCTCTCTCTATGGAGACTCCGTCTGAAACTCCAGGTTGCTGCAAAGCTTGTTGTGGCTTTTGCCTAATCATCTCTGAAAATATGTTACATATATATATATAGAGAGAGAGAGATAGAGATACTACTGATATAAAGAAAAGAAGACGATATATCCAATGAGTTTACCAACTCTGACCCTCTGCGCCTTGAAGCGCCAGTGTCTGGGGAGGATGGGCTTTAGAAAGCCCTCTCCATCCCTCAGAGGTGCAAGTGCAGCTTCCACCTGGCAAAACCATTTTCGGTTGGCGAGCTTCGAGGTGAGACTCTTGCTGGCCAAAACCAGGTATTGCCGGTATTGCAGGTATTTTTCAGGCATGAGCCCTCAAACACGCTTCAAAGGGCACGACTTCAAGCAGCTTCATTTCGCAGCAGTGGGCATCACGGTGGTGCAAGGGAAACACAACGTTTTCACAAGCACAGATTTTGGGCGCTGCAAGTGGCACCTTCTGCTCGGCAACCTTGTTCAGCACAACAACTCCCGCAGGAGGATATCCACCTGATGACACGAAGAAATCAAAGAAAGAGCCATCAATTTATTGTCCCAAAGATTTGTCATGGTTTGTCCCCCTTTGAATGGTCGTGCCGTATCTCGGGAAGAGTTGATGCAGTTGCTGTCGAATGTGTGTGGTAGACGTCGTTCCATTTGCTCCAAAAAGAAGAGCAACTCGGAATGTCCAACAACTCGGGTCAACAGAACCATCTGTGTTCTTTGGGGACGACTATTTGTTCCTAGTAGCGTCCTTGCTCCTAGTAGTAAGGCCAGGAGCCCCTAGTAGCGTCCTTGCTCCTAGTATTCTCTGTCCGGTTCTCTTTTGTCAATGGTTACCTCGTGCGAGGGCTCAAAGAACAGACTTGCCTCGTCTCTCCAGATTGGCGTTTGCCAAGACTTCGGCTGCATTCACCTTCCTGCAAAAATGGCAAGCGCAAACATGATTCACAAGCTAAGTGCTATTCGGCAAGACGTATGGCACCACAATCTTGTCTAGATCCTCATGCTTGGGTATGCAACATGTATGTTGGCTATTCCACCATATTTCCACCTGATCCAAAGCCTCCCTTGAAATCCAACCGTGGTTCTTGAATCGGTTCTTGAATCATCTTCTCCAGAAGCATAAACAAATTCTTTCTGTGGCCTCTCGAGCTTCTGTAGCTCATCCTTCAGTCTAGCGTCCACAAGCTGATCCCAGTCCTAGGGCAGTCGAACCCACCAATTGAGTAGGAGTACTGCATGCTATTGACCAATATGATCAGATATGTTTGTGTTTGTCTATGATACACCAGTCTATTTCCACAGTCTGCGCTGCAACATCATGGAATATTCCCGCACCCTAGATTACGATTTATTTATCAGATCAAATCAGTTCCCCCCAATCCAATTCAAGTCTACCACCGCCAAAGCAGTGTTTGAAGCTCGGTGTTGTTTCAATTGGTTTGAGGTGCTTTGAAGATTTACGGTGTTATGATGTTGGAAAGTATTTACTCCAAACATCATCTATCTTCATCCAACAAAGCGCGCCATCTCCTCCTCCTGCAACTCCTCCTCCACCACCTCCGGCTCAGCTGGAGTGCTGGGCCTTACCGGCGTCACCGGGGAGTCTGGGAGATCCAAACGCTCCCAGTCCTCCAGGTCCTGCAGTGATGTCAGCTTCACCGGAGTGGACTTTGTCAACCGAATTTAAACATATTTAAACCTAATTGGATAGCGACGGCCTCCACACACTGTGTCAAGCTGTCTCTCTTCACAATGAGCCTGGAGCCTTTATGCAGAATGGGCCCTTATACACACGGATAGAATCGATAGATCTTTGTTCAGCTCCTCCTCTTCCTCCGCTCGTGAGCTGGGTCGCTCTGAAGCTGCTGTGACAGTGGGAGCCGCCGCTTCTTCCTCCTGTGCTGCCGCCGCCTCCTCAGCAGCTTTTTGAGCTTCAGCTTCCCGCTCCACCTCCTGGAAAACTTTGCAAATCAAAGCTTTTGAGGCGACTTGGAACAAAAGGAGCGGCACTGAAAGGTGATATGCAACATGCCAGTGTGCGTGTGTGTGTGTGTGTGCCAACCCCTGTGCCGAACGGTTTCCACCGTACGGTTTTGATTTTTTACTTCAAGCAGGGGAATATTCGTTCATTCCGTGCAGCATCTGTGGTCCACTGCACGCAACGAAGCTACGACCACAGATGGGAAGGGATCAAGGACGCTTGATCCTGTACCTCGACCAAACACTTTGACTCCACTTGTTCCCCTCGGCCGCTGTCTTTTGTTTCCATGGTAGTTTGCTCAGGTATCCCACAAACCTTTTCTACCGCGTTGTTGCAGCTGAGTCACGCGTTGTGTGAGCACTTTGCTTTGCAGCTTGCCACCGCAGTTTTCCGCAGATGAGAGAAACAGTTGTTCAAACACCTTCAACTTTTTGGACGCTTCACCTTTCGGTTCTACCGCCTTTCTTCCACGTGGGAATAGATTAACTGAAAACCAATGTCAGAGTGTGACTCGCTCAGTCGTCCCACTTGGGTGCTGGGTGTGATCCTCCGCAAGGAGACGCCGTTCTCATTCCGGAATTCGTGTAACTGCTTTCACCGTTTCCACCATACCTCGGATTTTCTTAACAGCCTTAGTGTCACCACTGGATTGCCTGAATCACAAGCCGCCGGGCTTTCACGGGAAGAACTGCTCAGATTCATGCTTGCAGCCTACTTTCAATTTCAAGAGTGTACAGTCACACGTTTTCCACAACGGTCACTTTGAGATCAGGCACGTTACGTTTCAAACTCAATTTAAACTTGTCCTCAACTAGTCAGACTATACGTCCTAAAGGGGCACAATCCAAAAAATTGTCAGCGCTTTTTGCGAAAAATCACACGTGCGCCGATGACGGCCACGTGTGTGTGTGTGTGTGTGTCAACCCCTGTGCCGAAGGGTTTCCACCGTACGGTTTTGATTTTTTACTTCAAGCAGGGGAATATGCGTTCATTCCATGCAGCATCCGTGGTCCACTGCGCGCAACGAAGCTACGACCACAGATGGGAAGGGATCAAGGGCGCTTGATCCTGTACCTGCGACCAAACACATTGACTCCACTTGTTCCCCTCGGCCGCTGTCTTTTGTTACCATGGTAGTTTGCTCGCGATACCTCCCACAAACCTTTTCTACCGCGTTGTTGCAGCTGAGTCGCGCGTTTTGTGAGCACTTTGTTTTGCAGCTTGCCACCGCAGTTTTCCGCAGATGAGAGAAACAGTTGTTCAAACACCTTCAACTTTTTGGACGCTTCACCTTTCGGTTCTACCGCCTTTCTTCCACGTGGGAATAGATTAACTGAAAACCAATGTCAGAGTGTGCAAGCTGGGCGGTCAAAGCTCGATTGAACGCCGCACAAAGCAGTGGAAGCTGTATTGGATAAGAGTGCGAGAAGCTGGCTTATTGAGCTTGTCTCAACAACATGCAGGGCCCGGCAAGGCTTGCTTTTTGTCTGCATTCACTAAAAGAGAAAGCCGTGCCCCGTTCCACAAGCCAACCTTCTTGCTCTTCACACTTGTGGTGCAGAACACAATCTCCTGGGCGGACTCATCGTCAAGATGTATAGAGGCCGACTTCAAAAAGGACGTCTGTCAATATGGAGAACCTATAGCATCAACGACTGTCATGTGCTTGTTCTTGCACAGAAATTCACACATTTCAGCCGTCAACACCACTGATGTGACTTGCCTTGCCCCCTTTCTTCGCGGCCGCTTTCTTTCCCATTGCTCGGGTCAGGCCCGGAAAAAAGCGATTCAGGTGGCAAGGGCGTGCAAACCGTGACTTCTCAGGCAATTGGGTCTAGAAGACCCCACAAAATTGGGCTCTAATCGCAAGCAAATGCCAAACGTCTTCATGGGATATGTAGGTAAAACGTCTAATGCATGGTAAAGTCCGTTCCCAACTCAAATGGTTGGGATGTTAAGAGCCGACGGTCAGGTTCAAATCCTTAGGTATCACAACGGCTTAAGTTGTCAATGCCTCAACTCTTGGGTGGGTAGTTGAAACCGTGTCAGTTTAGGCTCGGCCTTTAAGGGTGCAGGAAACCAAAACTGCTGAGTCCCCCTTCCATGCGGGGCTGAAAAACTGGGCTGTGATAGCCTTGGCCCAAAGCAGCTGGTGGCAAGCAAGCTATTCCGTCCGGTCTCTGCCATCTTGCTGCACACGCTCCAACCTCCCTGCAACCAGCAGCACCTTCTCCAAAGGGTCAAATTCCTTCCAGCAACTATCAAAATGCAAACGAAACCAATTCCTCGCTGGCACGGCCAAAGTCCTGCAGTTCAAGCAAGAAACACACAATTTTTTCATCCCAATCATGCTTGATGCTTCTCAGGCGTAACCTGCCAAAGTCGTTCAGGGAATCTTGAAGTTTCACATGGGCGGCTCGCGCCCTTCATGCGCCCTGTATCCCTGGGGTCAATTCCTGTGATCAAGCTTGTGATTGTGGCGAGGTCGGTGGGACGTGGGGACTCGGCACTTGCGAGGGCCACATTGGGTGTGAACAGGAGGCATACCAGAAACATCAAACCAAAGAGACGAGTTGAGAAGACCTGGAAGAAGATTTTCCACCCCAAAAAATCTGCTCACATAATGACATGCAATGAACATTATCATTACGGCTGTCCACGTGTACATTCATATATGTCTCTGTCACATGGATCTCTGGTTGGCTCAAACTCAGTCCATATCTTGATTCATTGCTTCAGCTCATATGCATGTCCCACCTGTTCTATGAGTCTACACACACCCACATCAGGAGTGAAAAAGGCATGCCCCAAATGTGTTGTTTTGCATGATACAGAAAATGTGTGTGTATGTATATATATATATGTGTGTGTATGTGTATATATATATATATCATGATACATCAATGCAGACTTGTTGAACTTGCACCCAGATCAACTCCCAGCCTCAAGGGCCTTCATTGCGCCTGCCTCCTGGAAGGATGATAGAATCTCAGGGGAGCAAAGTCAGTCCAATGTTGAAATTCACATGATTTCCCTGGGATAACTGATTGGAGACTGACTTATAAGGGGTTCCCTCTTGATGCGAGTATTGATAATCGCTCAATCCTCAAATAGTTGAAGAACTGGTCACCGGGGTATGGGAGCGCAAACTCTACAGAGCCAAGTAGCATGAATGACGTGCTTGACACGGTGATTGCAATCTCCCTGCGATCTGTAAAGCGCTGACAGGTGTTTGTTGGTGTTCCTTCAACCTACTAGCAATGGCCTCCAACCTACTAGCAATGGCCTCCAACGTAATAGCGATGGCCTCCAACCTAAAATGCGTTGGCCTCCAACCTACTAG